TATCAGCCAAATATGATAACAAATGATATCAGTTCAAGGGGGCGGTTGCTTTTGTCCAGGAGTGTATAAGTCATAATTTATACAAGGAGTAAAAAGCATATTTCTGTACTTCCGAAGTATGAAGAAGTACAGAAGTACTGACAAGTACAAAGAAGTATCAAGAATAGCAAGAAGTATTCAGAAATACCCAAAAGTGTCAAGAAGCACCAAGAAATACCAAGAAGCATCAAGAAGCACCAAGAAATACCAAGAAGTATCAAGAAGTACCGAGAAGTATAGGGATGGTTAAGGGAAGGTAAGACAGTTCTTGTCAGCTTAGGATATTTATCAAAAAGCAAAAATGAAGAAAATCATAAGAAAATAAACAGAATCGGTTGTAGTGTTTTCTGCTTGTTTCAATAACACGAGAAAGACGATCATTTGATAAACGACTGTTTGTATCAGTTAAGAGCCAACATGCTGATTGCTTATGTAAATATCGATAATTCTCATTAATCTTGATTTTGAAGTATAAATCTTTTAAATGTGGATGAATTTTATCTAAAATTTTAATATCACTAAAGTTTGTTTTTAATGAAGTCATATTTTCTCTTTCGTCTTCATCGTCATCGATCACTTCATCGTGAAATTCTAATGTGTTGATTATCTTTGACTTCGTTCACTGTAATATCATCCTCACTTTCTTCTTCGTCCAATTCAAATTCGTCAATAAAATCATATGTTGTTTGTGTGTTTTTAGATATTTTCGAATTTATTTTTAATTGACTATGGACAAATTTACTTAATGATTCTATATCAAAAATACTATGTCTTCTTAATAATGTTGAGATTTTTGAATATTGGATAAGATTGATTGCTTTATTATATGCATTAAAAATTATTCGTTCGATATTCAGGTTATCAATATCGTCTAAATTTTGTAATGATAATAAATAAGAATCATTCTTGTGTTTGTGATGTATAGGAAATAATAAAGTCTCACTAGACTGATTATTTTTATTTGGTTTAACATCGAAAATTTTTGGGAACGCCGAAGAAAATCGATAATTATAAAACTGATCACTGTGGAAAATGATTCACTTAAGGATCTCGTATTTCAAAATAGTAATTCACACGATTGAGAGTTGAATATATGGATATTTAAAACTTCTTTGGAAAGTGTTTTTTCTTTGACTAATAAAACTAAGTAAAGTAAATTGTGAGCATTAATTTCCATGGATAAATAAGCTGGTTTGGTAATAAAATATTATATCTTATTAATTTTTTCATTTGTTGTCGTTGTTATTGATGAGTTTCAGAATGTTGATATTTTTATCCATGATCGCCATAATCGGTACACAAATACGATACACCACGATGATGTCAAACCTAAAAGATGTAGAATGTTTTCAGACATTAGTGCTCAAAAGTACAGAATGTTGATAAATATACTTACGTTCCGAAATAGTTGTTGACTTTTCTATAAATGCTGTTACTATTATTTTCAATAACTGATGATAAATATGTGTACCATGAGTATCAATATCATCAACTAATAGATCTAGTAAATCATTCGATACCAGTTTCATACAAAAATTAAAGTTTTGCCTATCTTTAGGGTTTAAATCAGACTTTGTTAATCCGTGATCGAGTTTTGTATATTGATTGCTGTTAATAATATTTTTTTAATGTTCAATACTGATTCAATTTTCTCCAAGACGCAAATCCACTGTTGTTGATACAAGTGGTTTACGTCATTTGGTAATGAAATGAGTTGAGTCTTGGAAGAATAAAAACAGTTTTTCTGTTGAAGATAAAACTAGAGCCATCAAGACGGATATTCTGTGCTAAAAGCATGTGGATGATCACAATATTTTAAATTTTGAATAGGAGAGAAGAGTCGACTAGCAATAAGCATGACACTCATCTATCTGCTATTTGCATCTATACAAAAATGATAGAAAATAAATCACTTTGTTAATTATAATCATATATAAGAAATATAAAATTGTTTATATTTATCCGTAGAAAAGCTAATTATTCTGATTTGTCTTTTAAAATGATTTTCAAACATAAACTTCCAACGACATAGAACATCATTTTCTGTCAATTTATTATTAACACTATATGCAGACAATATAAACGAAGTTGGAATTTTATTTTGATCCGATATGGAAGGTATTGGCTGAACTATGTGAACATTTAATAATGGTGCTTTTTCTCGTGTATCACACCACATTTTTAATTCTTCAAAAGAATTTGTTTTAAACGATGGCGGCTTTGGTACACCATTATCAAGTGGTGAAACAAATCCAACGAAAGAATTTGTTCTAGCATCATATTTTATTTTTCTGATGACCTCGGTGGAATCTTCAGCTAAAAAACAAAATTTTGTATTTAAAGAATGTAACTGTTGTTGTAATGCATCAAATTAAAAATTTCCTTCTTCCATTATCGCATTACTATTACTAATTGTATTATTTAATGAGACTAAACTAGGTAATGAACCATATAAATATATGCGGATGAATTCATAACCTTGTTTGCCTCCCAACATATATACAGAAATCGCAAATTTTTAAACTACATCATGATATCTAAAATGGTTGTCTGATTTTGATAAATCCTCTGTTATATTATGAATAAATATTTTTCAAAACGAGTGTTTATGATCATTATCATTTTTTATATTATCAATATATTGATACCACGTAACTAATGAAAGTAATAGTAGATGGTTATTGATGAACTTGATGTCGAGCTGTTCTTGATGATTATTAGTTAACAAAGACTCTTGTTCTTCTTTCTTAACTTTTAATAATTTTAACACATATAACAGACTATTTTTTATTCTTGTTTTAACAAGAAATTGTCCATTTTGCAAATTTAAAAAATGTCTATTTTTAATATCGATTACTTCTTGTGAATCGTGTTTAAAAACATCAAAAACATCAGTGGTGATCATTAAATTATCTACTGAATTAATCGATTGTACTTTCAAAATTTTGCAAAGTCCTTCTTCGACTAAGGCCATTATTGTTTGAAAAAATACATTATTTTTCAAAGTAAAAATGTTGTTTGGTAATAAAGATGTGCCAAGACTCATGCTGTCGTTGATTTTAATATTTATATCGAGTGATAATCTAAATTTACGTGATCTAAAATATTCATGATATTTGCTATATGATGAGTATTTTAATAGAAACAGTTATGCTTCTGAAAAGCTTTTGTAATTTTCGGTTATAGAATAGTAATAACTAGTGTAAATATTTAAACTCAAGTATATATATAGTTTTGATGAAGAACCTCTTAATTTGTAGTGGAAAATCATGGATTTTTACAATCGATGGCAATAAGGATTTATTTCTATACATTCACGTCGATAGTGTCGCTGTTTCATTGAAAGAAATCCATTTCCAATCAATAAAAGAAAAAAACAGTATGCTTTCTGAATGGCTCTTTAGTCATCTAATTACAATTCTAGTTAAATAAAAATATATGTAAACGTCTCCACTAGTGTTTATTTTTCGTTATAATACCAT